TATCACCATCTTATATCATCCGGGAAAGGCCAATGTGGTGGCCGATGCCTTGAGTAGGAAGTAAGCCAGTATGGGCAGTCTTGCTTATATTCCGGTCGGTGAGAGACCGCTTGCTTTTGATGTTCAGGCTTTGGCCAATTAGTTCGTGAGGTTGTATGTTTCTGAGCCCAGTCGAGTGTTAGCTTGCACGGTCGCTTGTTTTTCTTTATTGGAGCGTATCCGTGATCGGCAGTATGATGACCCCCATTTGTGTGTCCTCAGAGACACGGTGCAGCACAGAGGTGCCAAGCAGGGTACTTTGGGTGATGATGAAGTTTTGAGATTGCAGGGTCGAGTTTGTGTGCCTAATGTGGATGGACTCCGAGAGTTGATTTCAGAGGAGGCCCATAGCTTCCGGTACTTTATTCATCCGGGTGCCATGAAGATGTATCAGGATTTGCGACAGCATTATTGATGGAGGAGAATGAAGAAGGATATCGTTGCGTATGTGGCTCGGTGTTTGAATTGTCAGCAGGTTATGTACGAGCATCAGAGGCTCGGTTGTTGGGTACGGATCTGGTTCAGGATGCCTTGGACAAGGTCAGGATCATTCAAGATAGGCTTCGTTCAGCTCAGTCCAGGAAAAAGAGTTATGCCGACCGCAAGGTTCGAGATTTGGCTATCATGGTCGGTGAGCGGGTATTGCTTCGAGTGTCTCCTATGAAAGGCGTGATGAGATTTGGGAAGAAGGGCAAGCTTAGCCCTAGGTTCATTTGCTCGTTTGAGATTCTTGACCGAGTGGGGGAGGTGGCTTATAGACTTGCATTGCCGCCGAGCCTATCAGTCGTGCATCCAGTGTTTCATGTGTCTATGCTTCGGAAGTATCACGGCGATCCATCCCACGTGTTAGATTTCAGCACTGTCCAGTTGGACAAGGACTTGTCTTATGAGGAGGAGCCGGTGGCTATCCTAGACCGGCAAGTTCGTTAGTTGAGATCGAAGAGTTTTCCTTCTGTTCGTATTCAGTGGAGAGGTCAGCCTCCTGAGGCATCGACCTGGGAGTCCGAGTCCGATATGTGGAGCCGTTATCCCCATCTTTTCCCCGACTCAGGTACTTCCTTCTTTTGTCCGTTCGATGACGAACGGTTATTTTAGAGGTGGAGAATGTGATGACTTTTAAGTTAAATTATGTGTTCTGAGGCCTTAAAATCCTCTTTTATCTTCACCTCGATTTGCGTGCGCAATCCGAGCGTGTAGCCGGAAAGCTTAAATGAGAAAATCTGTGAAAAATGATAAATTTTGACTATAAAATGAATTAATTTGACTTCGGTCAACGTTTTGGATAAACGAACCCGGACCCATGATGTGACAGTCCCGAAGGGTCCGTAGGAAAATATGGGACTTGGGCGTATGCCCGGAATCGAATTCCGAGGTCCCAAGCCCGAGAAATAAATTTTTAAAGAAAATTGTTTTCTGGAATTGTTTAAAGTATTTTGAAATAAAATTTGATTAGAACATGATGGTTTCGGGCCCGTATTTTGGTTCTGGCGCCCGGTACAGATCTTATATATGATTTAAGATGATTCTGTGAAATTTGGTGAGAAACGGATGTCATTTGACGTGATTCGGACCTAAATTGCAAAATTGATGTTTTATGAAGTTTGAGAAAAATTCTTTGATTTTGAGGTTTAATTCGTTGTTATTGAGGTTATTTTGGCGATTTGATCGCACGAATAAGTCTGTAGGATATTTTTGAGGTTTTGTATGCACTTGGTTTGGAGTTCCGAGGGCTCGGGTGAGTTTCGGGTAGGTCCTGGGATGTCTTAGGCTTAAAAACATGGATGTTGCAGGTTCAGAGAAGTGCAAACCTCTGAACCCGCAGTGCTGACCGCAGTAGTTTTTGTGCTGTCCGCACTGGTGACTGTGCGGCCGCAGTTGATTTTGTGCGGTCCGCACAGATTCACTGGTCCGACTTCGGAAGCTCATATCTTTTGATATACAAGGGATTTGGGAATGATTCAAACATAAAAGTTGTAGATATTTGAATCTAGTTTTCAGAAACATATTATAATAGGCATTTGGACATCTGTAGAGAACGTTATGGCCAAATTACTAAGACCTCTCACTGCAGAACACAAGTAGTGCTGTGCGGCCGCAGTTGATTTTGTGCCGTCCGCACAGGGCATCTGAGAATAGTATATTTAGACGGGATTTTCAGTTATTTTTCATTTTTCAAAACCCCAAAAACATAAGAGGCAATTTTTCAAACAACCTTTCTTCTCCAAAACGTTGGTAAGTGATTTCTAACTCATTTTCTTCACTCATTAACATCTTTTAACATGATTTCAACTCAAAATTAATGATTTTCATGGGGGAAATTAGGTGTTTTGGGTATAACCTAGGTTTTTTAAAAATTGGGGATTTGGACCTCGATTTGAGGTCCGATTTCAAAACAAATTATATATTTGAGTTCGTGGGGGAATGGGTAAGTGGGTTTTGGTTCGAACCTCGGGTTTTGACCATGTGGGACCGGGGGCGATTTTGACTTTTTGGGTAAAACTTTGGAAAATCCATTTTCATGAATTCAAATTGATTCTTTTAGCGTTTATTGATGTAATTAAGTAACTTGTGACTTGATACGGGCGAATTGGTGGTGGAATCAAGGGGTAAAGCTATAATTGGATCGTGAATTGTGTTCGTGGCATCGAGGTAAGTGTTTGGTCTAACCTTAGCTTGAGGGATTAGGAGTGTGTCTTATTTGCTATTTGTTTTCTTGTTAAGTACGACGTATAGGCATGGTGACGAGTATCTATACGTTGGTGTCGAGCATGACCGTGGGTCTTATATTGTGATTTTTATGATTTCGTTGTATTATTCATGCCTTGGTGAAAATTTCTAATTGTTGTGCAAAGTTGTGAAAAGAATTGTGACCTATGAACGTTGAGGAGCGTTGGCTCCAGTTGTATAACGAATTGTGAAAGTATAAGTGACAATTGAACCTCTAGAGCAGTGGCTCGAGTTGTGAAGTGAATTGTGAAGTAAATTTGAGAAAGAGAAGAGATCATTATGTTGCCCCCTTGCCGGGCTGTTGTTGAGTCGTGGTTCCCTTGCATTGTGTTCCTAATTGATATTACGGATACTTAGGTTTATGATTCTTTGTGTTAGGTAAGGATTGTGGTTATAGGCTGAGGAGCTTGGGTATAGCTGAGGTAGTTAGGTGTTGTAACAAGTTTGGGTATAGCTTAGGTAGTTAGGTGTTGTAGCAAGTTTGGTTATAGCTGGGGTAGTTAGAGGTTGTACCAAGTTTGATTATAGCTGAGGCGGTTGAATGTTGGAACAAGTTGGGTTATAGCTGATGTAGCTAGATGTTGGAACAAGTTTGGTTATAGCTGTTTCTCCCTTGTCGGGACGTATTTACTTATGCTGTCGAATCCCTTGCCGGGATAGTTTAGACCTTTTTTTATCCCTTGTCGGGACTCTCGTTATAATTGTAAATATTATATATGGATCGGGTTGCACGCCGCAACAATACTATATATATGGATCGGGTTGCAGGCCACAACAATATTATATATGGATCGGGTTGCACGCCGCAACAATATTATATGTGGATCGGGTTGCATGCCGCAACAATATTATATATGGACCGGGTTGCATGCCGCAACAATATTATATATGGATCAAGTTGCACGCCGCAACAATATTATATATGGATCGGGTTGCACGCCGCAACAATATTATATGTGGATCGGGTTGCACGCCGCAACAATATTATATATGGATCGGGTTGCACGCCGCAACAATATTATATGTGGATAGGGTTGCATGCGCAACAATGATAAATGAAATGGGAGCGGATGGCACGCCTTCCATGAGACACAGAAAATGGGATCGGGTTGCATGCCTGCAACAAGATGTGAAAAGAAAGTGAAATCTGCCTTTGTTTTCCTTATTCTTGTTAGAGGGTGGTTTTTGATTCCTTAATAATGCTCTTGATATTCTGTTTTAACTTGTTATTCCCCGAAGCATGTTTCCCCCTCCCATCTTTATTTGTTTATCTCTGCGTTACTTTCCGCTGTATATTATACAACTGCACAGGTTTATTTGGTAGTCTGGTCCTAGCCTCGTCACTACTTCGCCGAGGTTAGGCTAGGCACTTACCAGCACATGGGGTCGGTTGTGCTGATTCTATACTTTGCACTCTTTTGTGCAGACCCCAGTGTTGTAGACTTCGGACCGTAGGTTGAAGGCTATTTTCAGTTCACGCGGAGATTAAAGGTAGACCTGCAGGTGTCCGCAGGCCCTGGCGTTTCCTCTATCCTTATTTCCTGTTTCATTTTCCTTATATTCAGAAATAGTGTATTGATATTTTCTTCAGACTTTGTATGTAGTAAATCTTAGACAGTCTGTGATACTGTGACACCAATTCTGGGTAGTCGAGGTTCAAACAGTTGTATTAGATATTCATGTTCAGATAGCTTATGGCTTCTTTCTTCCGCTTATGTTAAATTCCGCTGTTTAAATATTATTATTATTATAATTATTAAAATTGCTAATGAATAAAAAATGAGTAAAAAGGGTAAGTTGTGAAATTAATTGGCTTGCCTAGCTCGTATTAGTAGGCGCCATCACGATTCCCGAGAGTGGGAATCCGGGTCGTGACATCTGGCTTCCCATGTTCCACTACATGTTGTAACAAAACTTGGCAGCATTAGTGAGAGGAGAACATCTGAGCTAAAACAACAAGAGAAAGAATCCATCGAGGGGAGTTGATGGCATCTCCCTCACGTACACTACAACAATGAGACATATATACTCATTTATCTATTGAAAGCAAATAACAAGTAATAGTTAGAAGATTACTACATATGAGAAAATTGATGGCAGTATTCTAAAAAGGACGACAAACACACCCCTGTAGTTTTAGATCGTATACAAGAACCCATATTCAAAAATATACTTGATTATTTAGCACGAAAATTATGCTTCCATCAACTTGGAAATATGCATTAAGTCGTGAATACACATTCATTCGCTTATGAAGTAGGAGATGAGAAGAAGATTCAGAAACACTTGAAAGAAAGATGTGTGGCAATTCCAGGAAGAGCTTCCTTATGCAAGCAACTTCATAGTAGTAAAATACAGAGCAATCGAGTAAAAGAACCACCAACAGCTGGTCAAACAATATTTTTCAAAACACAACCTCTTGGAATAAAGGCACGAATGGTTTTAATATTCTGCAGACAAGTTGCACCCTCTCTAAATTAGTAAACTTTTGATACTAGTCCCACTAATTAGCAAACTCTTGACACTAAATTATTTCATCGCTTTCAAGTTCAAATTCCTGATCTGCTTTCCTGTGTTCAAAATTAGATACACATGAGAGCCAATAAGAGAGAAATAAAAGCAAATAAATAGACGTCTTTCATATGATAGCATGACAGATACTAATGAGATTGCAAATTAGAAAACACTTCAAATTGAGAACAATGTAAGCTTGACAAGATAAAAGAATACAATGAATATGGTAATCAAGAAAAGCTATATACAGAACATACCTCAAGAAAAGAAAATAGCCTGCTTCCTAAGAAATGAATTTAGAACTTCTTCAATCTCCTGTGGCAATACATCAATATTTGAGACCATAGTGAATACTCAGAAGAACTATCAAAGCAAAAATTGCTAAGACCCTAACAAAGTCGAAGAGTATAGCATATTTTCTAAGAAATGAATGTAAAACTCCTTCAATCTCCAGTGCATGTGGAGATAAATAAGCACAGTGAAAATATGTGAGACACCGTTCATTGGCATGCTGTTTATCAGAATTTGCATAAATTTAACCCCTGTGCTCTATAGCAAGAGCCCCCGAATCTAGACCTGCTTGTCGTTCCAACCCAGTTCCAATAATGCATTTCCCGGAGCGAGAAAGAGGAACTGCTTGATGTTGCATATTAGAACTCATTAAAGATCGATTCGCATCATTATGTTCGATAAAAGGAATGAGGGAAGATCCAATAGAAAAATATTGAAAAGGAAAAATACTTCGAAGATGAACCTGTTCCCATGCAATAGTCAAGAATTCTTGACGGTATCGAGCTGGAACAACCTGTTCTTCCTGAATATCCCGATTTAAGGCTAAAGAATTTCCTGCCGCTACCATATAGTATTCATCTCTACATCCCCAGAGCTAAGCGAAATAAGGTAACACACACAGATAAAGCCCGAAGTGCTACAATATTGAAACGCACCATCTCTGATCTAGCTAAAAGATGAATTGCACCATCTCTGACCTACCTAAAAGTAGAAACGCAAATCCCTCGAGCATAAAAGATAATCATACTGAATTTCATATGTAAGACAAGTTTGTTTCTGTTAGCCCTATTGGTAAAAAGATGTTTCAAGGCCTAGCAATCCACAAGAACAAAAAATCCAGGCTCCATAGGAGTAGGAAGAATTTATAATGAAACTGTTACTTGTGGTGTCCTAGTTCACAATCCATTCACCACATTACCTGACCCATCTAACTTGACAGTTCACAGAGCTGAAAAAATAAATACTGCTACACAACTTATCACATTATAGTATTTCAATTTAAGATGCATACACATCCTAGGTAAACAACAACATAAAGGATAAACAGATTCACATGCACTGGAGCACCCTTTAAGATGGAATAGGTTGATCTTACTTTGCAAAAATTCATAAAAATGAATAATCAGGTCTCAATCACTCTCATAAGTCATGTTTATTTTTCCCAAGCAAGCAAGAACAAATCTTGGATCTGCAACAGAGAAATAAAGACTCCCGTTATAATGATATAAATATATGAAGCAAGTATAACGATTGGAGGTACGCTTTTTTCCCAAATATTATATGACACTGCATATCACCAATGGAAAAACTTTAGTAGGTATGTTTTTCCCCCAAATATTATATGATACTACATATCACCAATGAAAAAACTTTAGTATTAGTTTTTGAACCAACGACAACAACAAAAAAAGAGCAGAAACCCCATCTAACTTCTTATCAATTTAAACTAATAAGCAATCAAAATGACAAGATTATATCCTGTAGAAAATGGGTAATATGGTTCTGATTCCAAGATAAATATATAATTTTACGAAACAACAAAAATACCATCAGCATCATAAGTATATATTAACTACTTCTGCAAAATCACATTGTAACATATCTGCAATTCTTCCTAGCTCTATCTGCAAAACTGGTTTTTGGCACCTCTTTTTGAAACACAAGGACCACTATACGATGACCAAGCAACACAGTTCAACTAGCTTAGAGTATATATTGCTTAGTCTTTGCACGCATGCTCGAACATATGTACAACGAACATATGTATGACTATGCTGCGGAAAAATTACCCACTACTGAAGAATGGAAGACTGATCAATTTCCCAATAAGGCAATCAGGAAAATGAACTACTACAAAGGAAATCAACTCCAAAATATGCCAGATTCGTTGGCAAATCCTACAAGACAATCAGGTATGCATGTTGATGGCATAGACATGATAACTACTCCTAACACTCTTCCTTTTACTAATTTATCTATTAATCATATTAACACTCCTATTAATCATAATATAAATCAAACAATACCACCAAGACCTTCTTTTAATAATAATAAATTTGCTAAGCTTTTTTCAAATGACTCCACTAATGATGATTCCCTAAATAATCCACCGTCAATCTCCATTTCAAACCCTATAATTCCCACTCAAGTATCACTACACCCAAGAATTCAATCGGCCCAATTAGAAAAATATCAACCTCCAACACCTTTCACAACACATGCAAAAGGAAATGTTACCCCTCCCCACATGCAAGACATACTACACTACTCAAATACACCTTACTCAGCAACCCAAGAAAACCTACTCCAAAATCCATCCAATAAAAAAATAAATTCTTTGACTCTGCTTACCAGTACACCGTCGAGCTCGACAAACCCTACTATAGCTCCCATGCAAATAGCTCATCATGATATCTCCACTTCCATTTCGACAACTCCATCTAACACACAACCACCAACTCCATCAATCAAACCGCCCATATCAACCACTAAGATTGTTTCTTCTCTAGTTCATTGTTCAAATCCGAAACAAATTCACTCAATCAATCCTTCAATATTTCCTCTCAACTTACAACATGTTTCCATACAATCTTAATCACTTATGAAGACCATATAACAACCCAAACAGGCAGAACATCCACCGACTACAACACAATCAAACTCCCTACTCCCTTCCTCCCTCACATCTGATCATGAGCCAAACACAATCATCTACACTGCTCAGACACCACAGGCACCACCAACTCCGGCATCTTGGCTCGAGACAGGACTTCAAAGCCATGCACTCACCTTCACAATGGAGGTCAACCACCAAGAGGTGACAATTCTAATCAACAATCCGAGGGATCTTGCGCAAATAGTAGTGGAGGGAATGCAACTAGGGACGGATATATTTGAAAGATACCATTGGTCGATGATGCAAGCACCTTATCTTGCACCATATCACCCTCTCAATCTCCCAACACCATTGGGATCCCACTCACCTTCACCCACATCTTCTTCAAATGCCATTCTATCCCACCACTCCTGCCACACCTTGGATTCAACCATACATGGTTCCACAACCACATATACCACTATTGGAACCCATAAGACCTCCAACTCCAACTCCATCACCATCCCACCATCCCAATCCACTAGAACAAGACATGAATTTTCAGGCAGAACTCGAAGCAGCAGTCGTCTACAACAGGGAAACACGTCCAATTCATGCATGGCTCGATGGAATCAAGGTATTTGTCCAGAAGGAGGAATACGAAAGAAAAATATTCATAAGGTGTCCTCCAAACCTAATGACAATATCCTTTCGACTAAGGCCCACAACAAACCTAGATGTGGGAGAGTATGCAATGCTTCTACTTCCCACATTCCGTCTTCGTCCAGGAGAGAGCAACAACAATCGGAGGAACACAAGGAGTAGTCAAATGCTTGAGCTAGTCAATAACCATATGAATTTCATTATTTGGAATTGCAGAGGAGCTCAATCAACTGATTTTAGAAGAAACTTTCGTTCACTACTTGATCACAACCGGCCATCTTTGGTTGTTCTTTTGGAAACGCACTGTCAAAGCCACCAAATTTTGAAGGAAGACTTCAACTTCACTGGTATGATAGAGGTAGCTGCCATAGGACAGTCTGGAGGAATCATCATATTATGGCTCTCAAATGTTCTTAATGTTGAACCAGTGGCAACAACTGCACAAGAAATCCACTGTCACATTCAGGTGCACCCTTTTCCTTTTACATTCTTATTTACTGCCATATATGCTATTACTGATTTGGCAAATAGAAAGTCTTTATGGGAAAATATAATGTGTGTGTATGATAATTACAAAGGCCCATGGATCCTAGGGGGAGACTTTAATGAAATAACACATGCTGCTGATAAATTTGGAGGACTTCAAATTAATAATTCACGTTCAAACAAATTAATCGACTGTATAAATTATTGCCATTTAACTGATTTAGGGTATAAATGAAGTCGTTATTCATGGACTAATAGGAGGCATAATAATTTCAATATACTTGAACGTATTGATCGTATTGTAGCCAATTATGATTGGCTAAATAAATACCCAGAGGCACTTGTGACACACCTCCCACGTACCCATTCAGATCATTGTCCCATTAAACTAGAACTACAATACTGTCCACTACCTCGCAAAATTTTTTTTAGATTTGAAACTATATGGACTACACACCCTTCCTTCCCTTCTATTATTAGATGTCACGACCCCAATCCCGATCGTGATGGCGCCCAACACTAATGCTAGGCAAGCCCGACCAATTTAAATACTCTCAACCCAGATACCCAATCCGTTAACAAATAATACGATTAAAATAGAAAATATCAAGGTTCCAATCCGAAACTAATAAAATAGTATGGAAAAATAATAACGAATATCCCAACATTCCCCAATAGATCTGGAGTCACGAGTCTAGAGCCTCTAAATGTAACAGAGTATTATATTCATAGTAATAAAGAAAGTCTAGGATAGGAAAAGACAAATGCAATAAAGGGGAGAAGTCGGGTCCTGCGGACGTCAGGCAGCTACCTCAACAACTCCTAAACCGAAATCCAAGAAGACAGCAAACAGCTCCACTAAGTCTCCGGAGCACCTGAATCTGCACACATGGTGCAGGGAGTAAAGTGAGTACCTCGAACTCAGTGAGTAATAAACATATATAATGGCTGAAAGTAAGAAATCCCGAAATATTAGAATATAAAGCTATAATCAATGATTCAGCACGTTAAACGATAAAATAACAGCAAACAATGACAATTAGGGCCAACAGATATAAAATGCATGAATGCAATGCAATGCACATGACCGCTGCGGCGCGCAGCCCGATCCATTTGGGTACCCGCGCTCACTGTGGGGGTTCAGACTCCGGAGGGGCTCCTACAGCCCAAACGCAATATCATCGTAGCATTCGCTGCGGCGTGCAGCCCGATCCACACTCAGTCCAGATATACATATGCATGCAAGCCACTCGGGCACAGTCAAATTGTCCATTCTTAGTTTCAATTATTAGGAATTATAGAGCTAAGTGTGTAACCTTTATTTATTTACAAACATTTCAAGGCAGTGTCTAACTCAGGACTGATATCATGAAATATGCTAAGTATCATGGGAACAGTGATAAGGATCCCTGAAGGATGCAAATGATAGGCACAAGGCCCCAAACATATTCATAAAACCCAAGTAAGATGATTACTACCAAATTTCTAGTCAAGAACACAGTACGAACATCAATCGGAACGGACTAGGTCAAATCCCCAGTCACAATCGACCCCGCACTCATCATAGAGTACGTGTCTCGCCTCAATATAGCGTCACAATGTGATATACCGGGNGCGAGAGAATAGAATACAGGAATTAAGTTCTCGAATCACAAAGCCGCAGGACAAGAATTTCAAGAATATGGAATTTTCCTAAAGGTTCTGCAGCCTCTCGAGGAGAAGTACAGGCGTCCCCGTACCGTTCCGCGATACTCTACTAAACCGGCTCATGACTCGCGAGGCCCAGTAACCTAGGCTCTGATACCAACTTGTCACGACCCCAATCCCGGTCGTGATGGCGCCCAACACTAATGCTAGGCAAGCCCAACCAATTTAAATACTCTCAACCAAGATACACAATACGTTAAAAAATAATACGATTAAAATAGAAAATATCAAGGTTCCAACCCGAAACTAATAAAATAGTATGGAAAAATAATAACGAATATCCCAACATTCCCCAATAGATCTGGAGTCACGAGTCTAGAGCCTCTAAATGTAACAGAGTATTATATTCATAGTAATAAAGAAAGTCTAGGATAGGAAAAGACAAATGCAATAAAGGGGAGAAGTCGGGTCCTGCGGACGTCAGGCAGCTACCTCAACAACTCCTAAACCGAAATCCAAGAAGACAGCAAACAGCTCCACTAAGTCTCCGGAGCACCTGAATCTGCACACATGGTGCAGGGAGTAAAGTGAGTACTTCCAACTCAGTGAGTAATAAACATATATAATGGCTGAAAGTAAGAAATCCCGAAATATTACAATATAAAGCTATAATCAATGATTCAGCACGTTAAACGATAAAATAACAACAAACAATGACAATTAGGGCCAACAGATATAAAATGCATGAATGCAATGCAATGCACATGACCGCTGCGGCGCGCAGCCCGATCCATTTG